GGGGGGGGGGGGGGGGGGGGGGGGGGGGGGGGGGGGGGGGGGGGGGGGGGGGGGGGTCAGCGATATCGCCTGTACGGGGTACACCTACCTCGCACATAGCGAAAGAATACTTGATACAAATATGCCGCCCTCCAACAACTACTATACTGTAGACAAGGAACGAACTCCCGGCAGATGAGTGCCAATCGTTCCCTGGTGCCAAAGGGTGTCGTCAGAGGAGGACTCAATCAAACCAGTTTGTGCATGCAACCTCTCGGACTGGTACCAGAGCCGATGACGATCAAACATCATTTCATAGCGTAGCATCGCCCTTCAGCTGCCCTCCCTCGCTGTAGAGTACGAGACAAGCTGCACTGGGCTACATAGCACGCAACGCAGCGCCATTGAGGCTGCCGGCAAACTGACGGCAAGCATATCGATCGCATCATCCGTGCCTCACCAAGACAATAACGTGGTGTAAGCAGGGAAGGGCAAACCATGTACCGCCAACCAAAACACTCTTAACGCACGCCCCGCTACCCCTCAACAATCTACCCCGCCTCTCCACATGTGCACCTCCATCCCAAACAGCAGCTGTTCGTGCGCTATTTCCTCCTCCCGCCGATCGTTCTTGCCCTTGCCACCCCCCTCCAAGTCGGCCGGTTTCTCGAGCCTAGTGAGGACGTCGACCTTCCCACTGTCCACAGCTGTAACCCCCGCGTATCGTGGGTCTAGGGCTCGAACGGCGGCAGCGGCAGACTGTGCGCTGGCTCCGGGTGGCAAGTGCGAGACGGCATGGATAACCTGATCAAGAAACATCCCGACGTGGGGTGGAAGAACAACAGCCATGGCGCACAACGGCCAAAACAATAACGACCGAGATCAAGTCTCGCGCCCTGTTGTTTCCGGCGAGTTTTCCGCGTTGTAGACAAAGGATGCGAATGCCGGTGTCATCATAGCAATAGAAAGCACGACCGCCGCCGTGTTACTGTCTTGAGATAAACCGTTGTTGCTATGTCAAGGAAAGCATCTTTAAGAGCAGCACACCGCTGCAGGCAAGTCGCCCTCGAAACTGCGGGAATGCCAACCGATATCCAGCATAGGCTACTGACACAACCCTCCTTCCGGCGCGCTGGGGGCGAGGGGTCGTGACGTATGTCGACAAAACGATCATGCTTTAAGTAGAGGTTATCTTAGTCTTACGTCCGGCGGAAGGTCATCGCCGAAGTACGCCGCCAAGTATTGCTCCGTTTCAGCAGCGGTAGGCGCGTGTCCGAGGGTGTGCAGACCCTCGCTGAACAGCCTCTGCTCCAGAGTCTGGAGGTACTCCGACAGCTCGCGCGCGTACTCCACGAATACCTCCGCGTCCTGCCGCAAGACAAAAGAGAAATAGAGAGACGGGGGGGGGAGCGGGGGGGTTACCGGGGAGATGCGAGGTTTTGATATTTGAAGGGATAGAAGGGTTTGTTATTAGAAGGGCTAGGTGTGAAGACGGTGGTGGCGTCGGCGCGGTAGGCAGGGTGGTCGTTACTGTCACTCATAAGCGGAAGTCACAGTACAGACACCAAGGCCGGAGGATGAGGGAGGGCGTATGGCCATGCCAGCCGTGACTCTTAAAGGAAAGGCATGGCCGGAGAAATAGAAATAGAGAAAAGGGGAGAGAGAGCAATGGCACAAACAAATAAAAAAGGAAGCTAGTTTACCGGACCCCGCCACCGCCTTGTCGGGCACCCAATCATGGATCATGGATGGTTTCATCGTCAACAGGGAAAGACGACGCTGTCGGCGGCAACCGCGTACATCCGCACACAACACAACTCGATAACCTCCAGACGTGCACTTCGACAGCCCGACACACTACACTTGCAAGAGAGCACTGCATATTTAGACGAATCATCTCTCTNTGTTTCTTCCGCTCATCTCTCTCTCTTTGTATCTCTCTCTCTCTCTCTCTCTCTCTCTCTCTCTCTCTCTCTCTCTCTCCCTCTCCCTCTCCCTCTCCCTCTCCCTCCCGCTCTCCCTCCCTGCCTCCCTCTCCGCTGATTCCACACATCGCAAGATCGTTTCTATATATTGTATGCATATTTTCTTCTTACCTCTCCTTCGGCCGGCAACTCCTCCGCAGCCTCAGCCGTCAGAACGCCCCCTTCCCCTCCTTCTCCGCCATTACCGGGGAAAGGCAAATCCTCGTACAACCCGGCCTGCTGCATGGTCGCCGCAATCACGGGCCTGAGAGATGCGTTCTTGACCGGATCCTCCCTGAACTCGCGCAGGAGGTCCTTGAGGGTGGCCAGCTGCTTGTACAGGCCCGCTCGTGAGTAAGGGGGCACCTGTTAAGCAGGAAGTCCAGGTATTGTAGGCGGCAAAGCGTCTGGAGGTTGAACATACTTTCTTTGCACACCGGTGTTTTGCGGGGTGACGTGTCTTTCTTCTCACACCGGTGTTTTGCGGGGTGACGATTTTTCTGGGATCTTTGTCCCCGTGTGGACGGACGTGATACGCGAGCGCAGCGACCACGTTGCGATTCGCGGGAAAGCGAAAAAAGCGGCCACCGGAGTTACAGTATGTCCATTCGGCCACACGAGAAGATCAAGTTGTAGGTGGATACTAACCTCATGATTTGACGGGGCCACGTTTTAGTGTGAAGACAACAAAAACGACAGCAACAACAACAATCATACGCTGCCGTGTGGCCTAGGCAGGGCGTGGCTAAGAGACGAGCAGCCTTCTGACCGCTGCCTGCGAACTCGTTTATTGCTCACGTTGTGGCTGATGATAGTCCCGTACCCCCTGCGCTTCGCGAGGATGCTCTCGCTCGGGTTGTTGGCGGCGTAGACGTACGCGTTCGGCATGCTTTTCATCAAGTGACAGGTTGGCGCCGAGACGCAGTTAACGATCAAGGTCGACGGCATGGGGTAAGCTCAAGCCAGCTGAGACAAACGCTTCACATGCGCTCCAATCCGCCAAGGGGTGTCAACGCAGGCAGCGGCGGTATTGTCGTATGTATCAAACAGCGATGGCGGGGGAGACCTTTAATCCGCGCCCCATCGTCCGTTCACTCGTCGGCGGCTGCTGCTTTGGGATCCCCGGGAGGTGAATGAGCAATACAAGTTTCTCCCACAGGCATGGAAAACCCTAGGCTACGTGGACATGAGGGGAAGGCGGGGGCGAAAGGAAAAGCTTGGCAATACGAAGCAGTACGGGTGTTTCCCGCCGCAAACCTACCACACTTCAATGGCCTACAATGCCCCACAAGATAATCTGCGGGACCCCCTGAGCCACTCACTCCCCAAGGAGAGCGTCAGGCCATGTGCCACGCGTGTTGCCTAAGGGTGAGCCCGGGAGCCATTCCACCGTACCGTGCATGCCCAGGTGGACGACGGCCTGACGACAACGACAACGACAACGACATCCCCGCCGCGTGTTACCAATAGGTGTTCGTTGTGGCGGCGGTCAGAGCGATTGCTGCCAGGGAAGTCGTGTTGCTGGTGGATGGGGGATCGCGTCTTGTGCATCGCCCGTGTACGTGTGTGGTATATTGAGCACACGCGGACGAAGGTGGGTCTATCGAACTTGAAGTTCGGGCCATCACCGGCAACGTCCTGAGCGTTGTCTATCACCCCTCTCGCCCCGCCCTCGTGATCATACTACGGCAGCCGGCAGGAGACGAAGGAACTTAGACTTGACAAGCTACCGGCACCAGAATAAAAAATTCCGAGGATGGCAGGATCACATGTCTGGAGCAGTTGCAGGATGTGTCGACAGGTCGTTCGCTTAAAAAGAAGGAGGGCCAACAAGACGCCGCGCGCACAGCCTCGGAAGCCCTTCGCTTCCTGTACCTACCAACGAACTGAACGGCGCTACGCAACAACGACCGGCAGTATCCTTCGGGTGGATATATCCTTGTACTACCTGGGCGCCGAAGCCCTTTTCCCCCCTGAGCCACTCGTAGAACGCCGCGTATTGGGGGTGAGGGGTCAAATCCCTCTCAAACATCAGCCGCATCGGGTCCCCCTCGAGCCCGAGCAGCGGCTGCACCCCGATGAAGACGTTGCCTAGCTGGAGACCTCCGACCACCAAATCTCCCTTTCCGCTCGTGCTAACCCCGCGATATCTGTAGTGG